AAAGCTGATAGTTAAAATCTTCCCTCCAGTTCGTGCTGAAAAACTCTTTCTCACTGCAAAGTATTATTACAACAAATCGTTGCACAACAGTCTCGATTTCATGTACATCTGCTTTACCATGAGATCACAATAATCTTATTAATATCCTTAAGTCTGTGATGCACCATTATTTTCCAATCTTGTAGTGTGTGCATGCTTGAGATTTGAGAGAAGAATATCAGTGAATTGTATCGTTATGTGCATGCAACCCAATTTCAAAATCTGAAAGGATTTTAAAACTCCACCAGTCTGAGTCCAGCATTAAAACTCCCACACAAATGTTTTTCACTTACCCTGACTGATTAGTTAACTCTGAGCTGAGGCTACATGCACACAAATATGTTTTCATATTAAAACGGCGATTAACTGAGAACGGTTTCCATCCAGACAAGTGTTTTAGCTCAGTTTCCGAAAAAAAATAAAAATCTCTGTGCAAAATAGCCTAAAAACACATCACATGACCAATCAAACATACTGGGAGGACCAACAACAATGGCAAAGAGTAAGATCAGAGATTTGCTTGACTGCGCAACAGCTGCTAGCGGAGACAACACAAGAAAGGATGAAATTCGTTAGTCATGCTGATTAACCACCGGTAGTCAGAGCTGATGTTTTCGTTTGAAAAATGGTGACATGATTAATCAGGAAACAACACAGTGAAAATGAAAACCTGATCAGAAAGCGACATAGGTGTCCAAGTCATAGTACCCACAAAATCTGCCCATCTAGACCAAAAGTGCAATCATGTAGGTTTCAATATGTTCAGGAAAGTTTCCAAAAGTCTCGCTTTTAGGGCTCCTACAACTTGACGTGTAGACGGAGAAGGAGTGTTTAAAATGAAAACATATTGGTGTGGATGTAGCAGTTGGGTTTAGCTATGCAAGTTATTATGAGATGTCATCAAAGTCTGTGTGAACTATGTGTACAATAGGCATCTATTTGTAAGGATATCATCCAACAATCAATATATGTCACAGTAAGCAAAAGACAGATGTATGTTATAGAATTAACGCTGGCTGAATTCCATTTAGCTGCTTCAGTTTCAGCATCCCTCCCGGCACGTTGGCTCACTGCGACACCATCATGATTTACTATTAAACTGTCTGCTGTGAAAAAAGGGTCTGTGATACCAGGAGTGGTTAGTCAGATAAATAGAGACTGCTGGACTGGGCCTAATTAGAAATCTGTTTTCAATTACAATTCTTCGACCGAGTAAATAACCTTTTTTTAACAAGCAAGATATACTTAAGGTTTATAAGATGATGGCTGGATATACTACCTGCTGGATTGTAAACACGAAGGGAAGGGAAAGGGAAGGAAAATGACAAGACGGCTGCAGAAGGAAGTGGTGACAGCGACTGCAGGTGTTTGGTAGATTAGCAGCCTTAGCAGGGTGCTGCTGAATGGATGTTTACTGTTTGCCAACCTTCATTGTACTTGGCCTCAGTTACAGTGACAGGTTGTCATGGCAGAGGCAATGACAAGTGTCTCCCCGGATCAATGCCGGTGTGTGGCAGTGCGTAAGATTGCATTCGTGTGCGGACATGTGGTGGTGTTTTTGTGTGTGTGTGTGTGTGTAGGTGGGGTCAGTGAATGTGTGTGTGTGTGTGATGACTTGTAATCTACTCTCACACATCACAGATCAAAGGGCAAAGGCAGCTGCCTGGTCATCTCACCCTAGGCCACCCTGGTGGCACAGCACTCTCTGGAAGGGCCTTCAAAACACACACACAGATACACATCCACAACCGGATGAAGCAAATTTTGGAAGGGTGCAAAAGACGCTAACAGTTGCCATAGAAATTTTTCCACAAAGCTAGAGGGAGAGAGGGGTGGGGGGGTTGGGAGGGGGTGGAAATCGAGGAGGAAAAGGGGTGTAGAGAGGGAGACGGAGAATGAAATCAGCTCTGTCAATACGTTGCCAAGCAACACTCAACACTAACGAAGCTGGGGCTTGATAACTTGTTGATAACACCAGTGGGAGAGTGTGTGTGTGTGTGTGTGTGCGTGTGTGTGTGTCTGAAATGGCAGTGTTATTAGCAGAGGCAGTGAAAGAGCCCCTGCTGAGACAAGCCCAAAGCAGAGATAAGGGGAGAGACCTTCTATTAAAGGCAGGGTTAGCGGGCCTCAGGAACTCTCTCACTCACACACACACACAGGCAGAACAAAAGACCTCAGCAGACCCTTCCACAATAATGAATCACACAACAGGACCAAAAGAGTGGTGCTTAAACATTTTTGTTTGTTTTTTATTCAACCTTTTTTTTTTTCCAAACCAGGAATGTACTAGTTTTTTCCTCTCTTTAGAGGTGTGTTGGAGGGGAAGGGCCGGGGGGATAGGGAAATGAGGAAAGAAAGGTCGGGGTGGGGGGGGATCGGGGGTCGCCGTGATGAGTAGACAAGAGAGGAGGGGGGGGAGGTAAGGAGGCGAGAGGAAGAGGAGGAGAGGACACAAAAAAACCCTTCTCACACAGAGGTGTCCCAAATACAAAGTCTCAACACGTCACATATGAGAGCCACCTTCGCTCCGCGGCCTCCGCTCGCCGGCTATTGGCACAAAGAAACACACACTCACACACATTAACACACACACACACACTTTCACCAATGGAGAGGTGAGGGAGCTCGGCAGGAGCTGCTTTTCTCTCTCTCTCTCTCTCTCTCTCCCCGGTTCCATAGAAACAGCACTTTCTTCTTTCTCTTTTCAACATGACAACCAGTGGCCGTGTCCGTGGTTTTTAGAAAACGTTGAGTCGACCAGTCAAACACAAACAGTGAAGGCCAGAGACACAACTTTGAAATAACATCGACATGAAAATCAAACAATCAAAAAAAAAACAAAAAAAACTGAGTCCAAGAGATACTTGACATTCTGCTGAGAGGGAGTGGGGGGAGAGAGGGGGGAGTGGGGGGAGAGTGAGAGGGGGAAGCGGGAGCGAAATGGACTGAAAACGGGGCTTTTTAAGTCGATGCCGTAAAAGTCCGAGAAGTTTTGTTGTCCCCCTCGCGGCAGCAGCCATTTCTGAATAAAACACTGTCATTTTTGGATTTTGAGTGCTCCAAAGGGTCGCAGAAGTTGTTGAAGAGAGAGTAACAGACACTTCATTTGGCTTGGAGGATATTTTAGGTACTCTGAGCATGTTTAAATAGACATAGACTTAACAGCATACATAAAAAACACAAGTCGGTAGTTACAAAAAAGAAGAACTGGAGGCGTTTCTCCTCTTGTTTCATCAATGAAATCAATTTTGATACAGTCAAATACAATCCAAAACTCCTCCATGGTATATATATCAAAACAAAACAAAACAAAAAAAAACATCTGAACATCATCATCATGTGTTGAACAAAGTCAGACGGTTGTGACACTTTAGTATGAAAGATATCTCATTATATGATGTTAGATACAAAACACAGCTGAGAAATGTTGTAAGGTCCAGATTCAACACTGGTTTCACACAGAAAAACATGGCGACAACACTGGAGGCTTTGTGTGTGTGTGTGTGTGTATGTGTGTGTGTCTGCATCGGGAAAAAGTATAAGCTCGCCATTGCCACCCAGTTTACACATAAGCCATAAACATGTTTGAGCAACACAAAACAGCTTTATTAGTATGCACATGTGAACATATTGCACCTCTGAACACAGCGATGTGTTATTGCCCTCCGAGGTTGAGGTGCTGGGCACTAGTGTGTTTGTGCGAGAGAGAGAGAGATTGTGTATGTGTGTGTGTGTGAGGGCGTGGGGAGTATGGGAAAGAGAGGAGAAAACACATCGCACACAGTCACTCTTTTCATCCCTCCCATGTCCATCGGGTTAGTCTTAATCACAGAAATACAGAGTCATATGAAAGTAATCAGCGTGTGAGCGAATGTGTTTGTGGGAGCGCGAGTGAGAGAGAATGTATGTCATTTAATGCAATCAGTAGGCATTTGTGACAGTCATTAAAAGGTGTGAAATTTGTGTTAGGATATGTGGGAGAGGTGTGTGTCGAACAGAGAGAAAGTACTGACTGCCGAGGGGATTTCTCTCATGTGTGTCCGTAGCTAGCAGCGTACCATGTGCGCTTTCATAATAAATGAGTGTGTGTGTGTGTGATACACAGAGATGCGTTTCAACACAAATTTTGGCGGAAAAGAGGAACAAATCTGAAATGTGCCACCTCACGTCAACGTAAAGTGTGACCGAGTCACAGTAGATGCGTGTGAGAGAGTGTGTGATGAAATCTCTCCTTTCCACGGTTAGAGTTCAGCTCCTCTGAAATCCGTTTAGGCTGTCGGTCCATCACCTCCGTTCAGGAGGCTCTCCGGTCAAAGAAGAGGTTTCTCCTCTTCGCCAGCCACTCTTTCATCTGCTCTCTCTCCATCCATCCTTCCTTTCTCGGGGATCCTTCATCTCTCGCTCCTGCCGCTCCCATCCTCCCCTCCCCTCAGCTTCTTTTCTTTAGTGTGCAATTCCTTCACAGTCTTTTCTTTCCTTCGTCTCCCTCCCTCTCCCTCTCTCCTGTTTTTTTTTTTTAAAGTTCTGCATTCAGACGCTGCTTTATTCCTCCTCCCCAGACAGCACTCTCTCTCTTGCCCTTTTCCCTTTATTCTTCTTTTTCCATTTCATCCCCTCTCGCCTCCCCTACCCCACCATCACCACCTCTCCCCCACCCCTAACTTCTTTTCACTTCTGCGTTTCAAAAAAAAAAAAAAGCGTTTGAAAAAAAAAACAAAACAAAACAAAAAAACTTTCATAGATGGTTCTACCTCAACACTTCCACAAACGAGGTCTAAACTTCAAAACTACGGCATAGTACAAGGAGCTATAAAAATATACACAGAGTTCAGAGACCCTAGAGGGGGGGAGGGAGGGAGGGAAGGAGGGAGAGAGGGAGGGAAGGAGGGAGTGAATGAGAGAGAGGGAAGAGAGGAGAGAAACAACCTCTGTTCGCCGGGATTTCTTGTTTTTTTTTTTTTAAAAAAAAGGGATTAAATTAATATACAACGCAAAGGGAACCGGAAGGAAACAAGGTCATTCTAAGTTGTGAAAACCAAAAAACAGCAGATAAAAAATGTCTAGCAACAGAAGTGTAGTTTAACAGAGTGGGTAAAAATAATCAAACAATAGAAAACAGAAAAAAAAACATCTAGAAATTATTTACTGGATATTCATATATATAATCTATAAGTGTTGATAGCGATAAAAAATCTCACTTTTTTTGATATTCGCTCACTATTTTGTGTTTTGGTATTTAAGACAAGTCTAAAGAACGCACGCACAATCACTCACACACAAAGCGCACACTCAGACACACACACACACACAGACTAAACTCCACGCACGCTTATGCAAACTTGCTGTACTGAAGCACACTAACTGCACACACATCTCTAATGTGGAGCAGCAGCGCCATAATTATTATCCAAGTCGTATGCGCACTCGCACGGTCACACACGCACACACATACGCATTATTAAAATATACAAGATTCTGAGTGTCACCGATTGGTCAGACCTCCTCAGGCCTGGGCTTGGTCATGTGACCGCCGCTCAGACGTGCTGATTGGGTGAGTCCAAGGCCCCTGTTTTGCTCAGGAGAAACAAACACAAACAAACTAGAATCCTATTGTTGAGTTAGTGGCAGGGGCCGGTCTCTGGTTGGCTGATGGTGCTCTGAGGGGGGGTGGGGGTGGTAGGCTAGGCGGGTATGGCCTCTGCAAATCAGAGTTCTCCGGTGCTAAGTGGGGTCGGGAGTGTAGGTTCCGTTTTTTTTTGTTGTTGTTTTTTTGTTTTTTTTAATAAGTTGTAGTCCTTTTCTTTCATTTTTTTTTCTTTACTTTTTTAAAACAATTACAATTCCCAATGCCAGGTCCATACTCCTACGAAAAGAGCGTGTGCTGCACACACACACACACTGGCGTTTAGGGGATGACTCTTCAATTCAGCACAAGTTGGGCTCATTTAGCTCTGAGTTAACAAGAAGGGGGCACTCAGAGGCTCTTGCCCATTCGTGAGGGCCTTGTTAGGAAGGGCTATGTACGGTTACGACATTGCCCTTAACACACACTTAGTGGCCCAGTTGTGTGAGGATGGGGTGGGGTGGTTTATTCAGCTAGAAACATGACTGTGGCCGAGGGTGTGGGCTCACAGGGCGGTAAGTGGGGGTCTATGGGGACAATACTGGTAGTATTGAGGGGGTCGGGGTTGGAGCTGTGATGGCAAGCTTTGCTGTGGCTTCATTTGGAGCAGGGGATCGGTTGGCAATGGGTGGAGGGAGGTGGGTGTGTCCAGTCGGCCGGAGCAGTGGCCGTCTCATACTTTGTAGTAGATGTTGGCCGGGCTCTGAGGAGGCATCTCCTGGACAATGTAGACAGGGTGTCCGTAGTCCCCGCTCACCTTCTCGTAGTGCGGGCAGTAGGCTGAGTCTGAGGTCCGCAGAGGGATGATGATGTCGCTGGGCTCGGAGCCATTGTTGTTGGAGCTGGTGATGCCCCCGCCGCCGCCCCGCTTGGGGCTGGTGAGGGAGGACAGCGACAGCGGAGGGTGGTGGGTGTCCGAGTGCTTCGCGTGCCGCCGCCGGTAGCACACGACGCAGATCACGGCGGTGACCAGCAGGAGGAAGGCGGAACCTCCCGCGGCGCCGGCAATGAGGGCGATGTTGGAGGGTTGGAGAGGCCCGTTCTCACCTCTGCCTTCATCTCCAAAGGGTCCTCGAGGCTGGGTGGAGTTTCCAGAGCCACCTGAAACAAACCAAAGAACAGTCTTACTCCGATATCCACAGCATAACAAACTGCTTTCACTGCTTCCCTTTCACAGCATACAACAGAAGTGAGTACATCTCTTTGCAAAATCCCTTCAATGTGAAATGATTCAGACTTGTATCATGTTACTCCTCAGAATGAAGGATACCAGTGTTGCAATTTCTACAGAGATGTTCTCCCATTTAGAAACTGTTTTTTTTTTACAGCTGTTTTCCTTTTCAAATATCCCCAAGGTGTTCTATTGGATTCGAGTTAGAAGACATGCTTGTCCCGTCATAATTGTCACTTTTTTATTCTTCAGAAACTCTTGTGTGATTTTGGCAGAGTGCTTTCCATCATTATCATTCTGGAATATTCCTCTTCTTCTTAAGTTTTCAGACTGGGAGTCATGTTGTCAGCCAGTATTTTTTGTATTTCTACAGGTATTTATGGTGCCGTCTATGAATGTCACCAGCACAATACATTTTGCACTCACGCTTCCCCATATCCCACCTCTGTGCATTCACTGTGGTTGTGTTGGTAACGATTTCAGACAAACAAATTTATCGATGTCCCATCTGATCAGAGACTGTGCTTGCAGCATTCATCAGGCTTCTTTTCATGTTTTTAGCAAAGTTAAATCTTGCAATGTTGTGCCAATGAGAACGCATAGGTTTTCTCTAGGACCCTGTCCATAGATGTTACATTATGTCTTTTACGCTGTCTGAGAATTTTCACTCATAGGCAGAATGCCAAGTCTGAGGGTCACCTGTTTTTCAGAGCTACATTGTACAAGTAGAACACTGTCTGAGGCATCGTTTCAGAAGGATGACCACTGCAGCACTGATCATGCGTAATGTGGCTCGTTCTGTACCTCATGATAATGGCTGCAACTATGTTTAGATAAATATTTAGGTGGCCACCTGTCTCCCTTTATCCTTTTCTATCTTTGTAAAGTCTCACAATCTGAGTTTTAAAAAATCATCTGGCAATTTTTATCCACATAGAGCCATGATGCAGATAGATACAGTTCAGATTTTTTTTTTACGTGTGTCAGTGACCATTTTTGTTATGAGTTTCTACGTTGATGACTGTGCTTTCAACGTAGTCTTTCGAAAGTATTGTTTGATTATTCATTAGAGCAAATATTCCACTTGTCAACCTGGAAATACAGCAATTTTTGAGAGGTGGTACACTTCTGAATCATTTGAAACTTAAGTGATACTGCACAGGGGTGTCCTCAGTTCTGTTGTGAGCTGGATAATGTATGCATATTAATTATGACAAATACGCCCAAGCAATAACAAAGCTTGCTTACACAATTTGTGTTTTCATAAGCTTTTACATACCATTCCTTATGGCTCTGCACCACAATAACATGAGTAATAGTGTTGGTTTAGTTCAGCTAGAGGAGGCTGCTTAGACTTAACCCAGTGGAACGCGGCAAGTATGCAGCAAGTCTCACAGAAGCTTATATGTGGTCTCTTTATTGATGTGATGAAGTGGACAGCAGTGCATATAAAAACGGGGAGGAATGTCCGTAGTGAATATGAGTGCGCTGTACAGTATATACTCTTGTGGACAGCCTGGCTAAGCCACAGTGGGTATCAAGGTAACACACTCTATTTCCCTAACCTTAACAACTGTATTTACTTAGTATTATAGCCAGCCACATGAAGAAAGTCTCCCCACTCTGCTTCTACCGCCAGACCACACACTCCGCCTGACTGCCGGCCTTTCTGCCTTCCTGCTTGCCTGTCTGTCTTTTTATCTGTCTGTCTGTTTATCAAACTGTCTGTCACGCTATCTATCTGTTTGTCAGCCGATTGCTCCCTCTGTCTGTTGTGTGTCTGCCTGAAACCTAAGATCTTCACAGCCTCGGTTTTTCTGTGCAGGGGGTCGGGTCAGAACTCAGCAGGTGAGTGATGGTCCTGAGGTGTGTCGCTGTGCATCTGTGTGCATATTTATAGAATGAGGGCGGTGGGGATGGCTCTGACGCCGGACCGTGTGAGTGTGAGTTGCAAACTGGTTAAGGCCGGTAATGTGAGTCCCTGCTATATAGAGCCGTTGGATTGGTCCATCATTATTCTTGGCACACATCCCTTTCTTTTCTCCCTGTCTGTCTCTCTCCTGCGTCTCTGCTGTTTCCTCGCCCTCCCTTGCTCCGTGGTTCTCTCTATCTTTGGGTTATTGTAGCTGTAATGACCTACCTTGCTCGGAGCTCAGCGCCTAGCAACACAAACACATATGCAGAGACACACACACACAAAGACATGGACATACACATCCATGTAAGAAAATACACACAAATACACCTCATCTCGCCCCCCCTGCAGCTCGGCCCCCTGTTGCGCTGGACTGACTGGGAGCTAAACGCTAATGCCGGACGTCGATTACTCTCCCTACTCCTCCTCCAGCTTTCTTCCTCCCTCCATTAACCCAACATCCCTCATTCTCCATCTCCATTATGACTGCCGCCTTTCACCGGCTCTCATTATTACACCCTGGTTCTTCACCTCTCCTCCTCCACCTATCACTCCCCCGATTTTGCACTTTTCCTACCCGTCTGCGTCCCGGCTTTTCATCACACAAGTTCATACTTTGAGGCCTTATTTCCCCTTTGCTTCCATCCATTTCATGTCATTAGTGGATTTCAACTCAGAGAGAAACATGCGACGGGTCAGAAATGAAAGAACAGGTGAAGGTGATAACACAGTCTCGTCCTTGTTTCTGAGGCAGCTGTCCTCTCCTCTCCACTGTTATTTCTTGAGTATCATTCACATTTCAGAAAGACAAAATTGGCCTCACATTCATTTTTTGAAATATTTCTCGGGACTGTTTTATAATGCTAGGCACACATGCTTCCGCTAAGCTGTTGCATGTATGCAAATTTCGGAAATTTTGTCAAAATAAAGTGTGAATCAATGCGTGTTTTCATCAACAACCTTTATATGAATACATTCAAGAGGATGTGACAAAATTACATAATTACTGGAGCAGCAGTAACTCATGCATTATGGCATCTCATTGCTGCTTCCCACATAACATAGATTTTTGCGGAATTAATTTGTCTCTTCCCACCCATGTGTACGAGGTGGTGATACAAGAAGGGCTTGGTGTGCACAAAACCCCCTCGTCAGGAATCACACCAGGAACTGACACCCTCGCTGCTTCGGTTCTTTGTGGGGTTTTTTTTTTTTGCTGCCATTTCTGATGAAGTGATGGCATGACACTTCTTTTACATTAGGGGGTTCACAGGCAACATATTAGAAAAATCTGTATACATTTTTATCAATATCCCTGGATTTTTTGGTTGCACAAACTGAACTGAAAAGGAGGTAAACAAAAACTTTCTTAGATTATTAACACAAATAAAAGGAGTTCAAATTCAAATCTTGACCTTGTCTTGACCAATGAGTGCACACTGTTAGCCTGCATGGCAAATCAAATGACACAATTCAGTTCCGATGTACATAAATGATTCAAATTTGGTTGCATTAAGATTATGTTCCACAACTTTTTAAACATATCTGAATTTGAAGTTCAATGGCCTAAATCAATACGTTTTATTCCTGACCACTTCATCTGATGGAAGCCGATGTCTGACAAACTGAAGATACATAATATGTCTTTATAATAAAAAAGCTTTTCATAATTATGACTTTATTTTATAATGATTGAATACTGTGTCTTTATGTTGTGACTTCATTCAGCATTTTCATAATTATCACTAAAGTGCTCAAAATTAGTACTTACCATCTAATAATGGCGACACACTGAGTCCGGATTTGTGGAAAATATTCTAAGTAGTTACTCTAAGAACTTTAGAAACCTCATTATAGTGAAATTGTATTATCCTGTTTTTTTTCTTCCTCCCCTTTGCCCTCAACCGAACCGCTCGAGGCAGACGGCAGCCATCCTTGAACTGGTTCTGCTGCTTCCTCGATAAACTCACATTATTTTGTGAAGTGCCCTTAGATGTCTTATGATGTGAATTACCGTTGCATACATGAAGTTGAATTGAATAATTATGACATAGAACCTCATACAAAGTCCTAATTATAATATACCTTACACTACATTATTACACATATAATTACACATACATTGTTATAACATAATATGCAACAACTTTTTTTTATTTTAAGTGGCAGAAATACAGATCCATATGTCATGGCATCATCTTTAAAAAATGTATTTTCTTTTCAGGAAAATAATGTTTTGTCTGTTGATGCTATGTGTCCAGCGACACCAAATACTCAGCACCCATAACCAGCTTTCTTATGGATGTGATGTGGTACATATATTATTATACTATGTAACATCATTTTGTTTTCCAAGTGGCTGAAGCAGGCTTCTGTACATTATGGCCATCGCTTTAAAATATATCAATTGCCCTTTTGAGAAATTATGTTTTTCTGTTAAATTGGTGTGAGCAATGGCACCAAATACCCATGAGCCTACCAACCGTTGGCCCTTTCTGAAGTAAAGATTAGGGGCGTAACTCAAAGCTACTACTTGTTTCACACATTTCGATATATTCTGGAGGCAACCCTGCATTCCCCTGGTCTGCACAACAACTCTGGTGAAAAACGATGAAAAGATATTGAGAACGAATCCAGCTGAATGTCAGAGTATTGAACTTAAATCTATCTACACCTCCATGCATTAGGCCTGCAGACTGTAAGTGTACATTCTGGCTAATTTGCATCTTAAAAAATCCTGCTGATTTCGGTAATGGCAGTTCGTCTTCACACTATGGGGACAACAATCATCGGGAGCGCCTTTTTCTATGATTTGAAACAAATTTATGGATATCTATCCTCAGCGGACATCTGCAAAGAGTGAATTAGCAGCAAGTGTATGATTGTGTGTTTTGATTTGGCTGAGTTAAGTTTGTGGCAAATTGGGTGATAGAGAGGAAAAAAAAATAAAAAAATTCAGACGCTGTTCACATATTCAGAGAGCATTACTTCTTCATACCCCAATAATGTATTTCTATTTGTTTACATCCCAAGTGAGGATCAGACGAGACAAACAAACACAATGAGAAACCAGCAGTATTCCAGTTATTAGCTGAGATGATCTCACATGAGGATTAGAAATTCTGCCATAACTGTCGTGTCAGGAGTCAAAGCAATCATTTCAGATATGTTGTTAAGTGTGTGTTAATACATCCTTGTCTGACAGTCAAAAATGTGTAAAACCCCTTGTTATATATGTGATTAAATCATTTTGGTAGTGCGAGTTATCTCTCTCATTCGAGTAAAAACAATGCATACTATTGTTGCTTACTTCTCACATACAATTCTCACCTACATGAGGTATGGACAAGTGATTGGAAAATGTGCGAATGGCCCAATTCACACATTTGGCATAGTACACAAAATCATCAGAAAAAAAAAAGGAGAGGAATTAACAGAACTGAGAGTGAATCATGTTCGTTCTCCTCCGCTGCATAACTTTGAGGTGCTGCATGAATCTAGCCTCTCTCCATTTACATCTCCTTGTTCTATTCCCCTCTCCTCTTTGCTTTTCAATTATTGGTTTCTTTCTCCTTCTTATGTGCCTCCCACTTCTACCCACTCTGCTGCATCACTCCCCAATGCTTCTTCTTCTTCTTCTTCTTCTTCTCTCTACTCATCTTTCTATAATTCTCATTTCTTTCTTTCTCTCTTTTTCGACTAAACTACAGAATCCAGGCCGCCCAAAACTAATGACAATAATAACTCTCTGAAATGTCGCCGCCGCTTCTTGCCCTCTCTCTTCCTTTCTCCTCCTGCCTCTTTCTTCATCCCTCTCTTTTTCTTGTCCTTCTCCCAAGGTAGCTATTAGCCATCCATTCCCCGCCTGCAGCACTTAGCTCGAAGGGCCGGGTGCAGAGATGAGGAGGAGAGGGATCGAGAGCAGGGGGGAGCGCGAGAGAGAGAGAAATATGGAATTAAACAGAGAGATCCGCAGATGTCACCGCTGCACATTCTCCATCTGTCGCTACCTCCCTCCCTTTTCCCACTGCTTTTCTTTTTTATCTACCAGTCTTTGCTCATTCCCTCCATCCATTTTGTGGATGATCTGCCGTGGATTATCTCCATTTGGTTTCCTGCTTACCTGGGTTTCTGCTGGTGGTGCGTCCCGCTGGCGGCTCCTTCTTTGGAGGCAGTCCATATTGACCTAGGGATAAGAAATAAGAGGGGAATATGAGCGGAATTACCGAGACAGCCTCCATCTTCTGCAACAACCAAAGCTCTTGGAATTGGAACCAATAAGTGACATTAGCAAAGAGAAGAGCACGCCAGAGAGAGAAATAGAGACAGAAGAGGTTTAATAAAGCTTCCCTCCCTTCCCTTCCCATTATCGGAGAGCACATATTGATTGGGCTCCGATGTGCAGCGTATGAGCACTTTTCCATTTGTTTGAATGGGAAACTAAAGAGAGGCCGTTTGTTGTTTTGGCCTGACTGAATTTACACAAGGCCATAACGGCTTGTAATCTGTAGTCGCTAAATCAGGCCATCTGTCTAGCAAGCCCTCAGTAATGGTGATGGCATTAAAGTGCGTTTATGTGACACATGCAAACGCATACACACACACACACTCACGCAAATCCAGCAATTGTAAAAGTGCTACTCCTCAGAGCTGAAAGAGAGGGTTCAGAAAATACTAATTTGGTTTGCTTCTGAGCCATCTGGCCTACAGTAGCCTGCAAGGATAGTTATGTTGGGCTGTGACAATGCAACACTGCAGTTCATGCAACATTTTAAAAAGAAAATCTGTTGTTGGTCATTGCAGCAGCAGGGAAGAAGAAAATAGATATGACCATGGAGTGCTTCTGGATGAAACTGTACAGTAAACCCACAAATATTCGTGTGTGTGTGCGCGCGTGTGTGTTTGTGTGTTAGCGCACAGGCATCAACCTATATATACTGACATTTAGAAAAGTATAAGGCTATTGGCTGGCGGCTCCCTCTTGACAGTCAACCAAACAGAAGTTAGGGGCGGTGCAGGCTGGATCAATAGGAACTGCTGGGTGGTCAGCAGGGGCGACCAGAGGGAGGTTCGGGCTGTACGTGTGTGTGTGTGTGTGTGTGTGCATGTGACAGATCCAGAGAGCAAGCAAGATAGATAAAGAATAAAATAAGAGAGGACAGGTCAATGTGTGTGTGTGTGTGTGGGGCGAGAGGGCAAAAGCGTGTGTTGCAAAAGTGTGTGTGTGTGTGTTCCTCGAAGCGGAGCACAGAGCCATATCTCATCAGAGATCACCATGAGGCGGCACGCCGCTTATTTAGACGACAAACAACACAGACGTGACCTTTCAGCCACGTAGCAGATAAGATGGAAAGACAGAGGAAAAGAGTGAAAATAACAGAGAGGGGGGATTCGGAGGGAGCGTTGTAAGTCGAGATGGCCGGCATGCAAAGTGAAAGGGAGGTGATGAGGACAGGGAAATAGGGAATTTGTAAAGGAAGCAGGCAATGTTGTTTGAATGAAAATAAAAAAAAAAAAAAAGGCAAATGCAGGGGGGAATAGAGAGGAGGTAGAGGGGAAGGACAGAGCAGAAAAACAGACAAAACCAAGAAGAAGAACAAAGAAACGGCAAAGAAAGATGGAAAATTTGAGTGTGTGTATGTTTCCTCTTTAGATTTATGTTAAAAAAAAATATATGTGTGGAAGAGAAAGGTCGCTTCCAGTGCCCACTGGTGAAAGAGCCAGGGGAAATGAAGTGTGTGTGTGTGTAGGTGTGGTGGCATTTCTATTGGGCTAAGCTGACTATGCTGATGTTACGGGCTGATAGAGCCACAACAGCGCCACTTGACTCTTTGCTGAAGAGCACCTACAACACACAATGCCTGATAACACAGCATAGATCAAAGAAACAGAAATAGGTTGGTGTGTTTGTGTGTGTGTACGTGAGGGGGGTCATGTGAAGGACAGGTGCCTATTATGTGTAGAAATGCGCAGGTCAGTGAAAATGCTTAAATTGGCCTTTTTTTCCTGCTGCTTTTTTTTGAAAAACCTGCATGTGAGGGTCATTACCTGCGAATATTTTCCAAACAAATTAGGAGCGTGTGCAGCCACGAGTCATTAAAAATCACTGACTGTGTGCTTTAACAGTGAATGGAGTCATTTTGTTATCATGCTTTCGCTGGCAGGTCTGCTGTGTGGGGGGGTGAATGTGTGTGTTCTGGCGTGTAGGTGTGTGTTCGTACGCCTGCGTGGACACCTCAGTTGCATGTCCGCGTCCATGCTGTGCACTCTCGTAATCGTGTCGACGCGCAGACACGGGTGTGTGTTTGAGTGCGTGTCCAGCGTGAGTCAGTAGCAGTTAAAAGGCAGAGTGAGAAGGGAGTCAACAGGGCTCATTAGAGCTGACTGATCCCACACTTCTCCACTGTTCTCACCACTTAACGAGCCCTAATATGCTCAGTGAGAACACACACGCACAAAGAAAAGGTACGTGTGCGTTTCGTGGATGTTATGTGTGTGTGTAAGAAATAGGAAGATTAGAAAGATGGCTTTAAAGTGGAAGTAGCTGCACGCAAGATAAGGTGCACTAATTAATGTGTGCCGCTCTGTTCCGTACAGATGTGAGATCATACTGTGATTTGATTGTGTATGATGCATGAATAACAATGCACGTGTTAGCGAGGGAAGAAAAGTGCGCCGCACATGGGCTACATATGGGAGAGCTGAAGTGTGGTTGTTGTGTGAGAGAAAACAGAGCGAGAAAGGTGAGAAAACTTACTCTGTCCCACTTTCAAGACCACCTTCATGCCTTGCGTGGCACACACTCCGCCTCTCATGCTATCCAGGCCTTGACGCGTCCCGTCTGACGTAGCTGGAAGGATGGAAACACAAAATTGCACAATTAGACAAGTAGCAGGGAGGTGTACAGACACACAGAAACACCCCCCACTCATCCGTTCAAGCCACACAGATTCCCACTCTCTCTCTCAATCTATAGCTAACACTGGCCTCTATTCATATGGTCAGCCATTCCAGAGAGTCGGCGGATGACATTTGCAGAGGCAGCGATTTAAAACTCTACCAGAAGCTCTGAAATGTCAAACTACGAGGCGGCAGCACTTTAATAAGTCCTCATTTAGCAGTCTGCTGGAATTCATTAACACCCCCGCTGCGCCGCATGGACTCAACCGCTTGCAGTCAACTGCAATTGCTGCCTGGGCTGGAGAAAGAACAGGAGAGGGGGGCAATCTAGAGAAGCACAGACTGGCTGATGGAAAAAAGGATGGTAATCCAATCAGGAGCGTATATGAAATAAAATGGAGCCCCTGAGACATAAATCACTGTGTGATTTGAGTGAGAAACTGGACTTGATTGGTAAGAATACAGACTGTGTTGGATGAGTTAAAGCTCCAACTGGTAATACCCCATTACTATTACTGCTTGTGTTTTAATTAAGAGAATTAAAGAGATTTTTTTATTTAAAACTGATGTGTTAATATGGGCAATGGGGGATTTAATAGCTAAACAATAAAAGTGTTTCTTGCATCGGAAAACAAATGCAACAAATAAAAACAGTCAAGACACAGTGTCAAACTTCAAATCAGCACCGTACCCTGTTCAAGAATCAAACAAACATGATGCTAAGAGGAGGGCAAAGGAGTTCAAACAGTGCTGGCAAACGCCGCAGACAAGAAGAGGGTGTGTGGGTGTGTGTGGGCGGATATTACTCACACATTGTGGGGACCAACATGTGAGTTACAGTAGCAAGACTTTTGTTTCTTATTGGGACAAAAAACAAAAAAAAAGGGTCCTCTTAACATAAATAATTCAATTTTTAGTTGAAGACATGTTTGAAGGTTAGGTTGAGGTCAAGGTGAGGGAAACGTAAGTGGTATTATGTGTGTGCATTCCGTACATTGTGGGGTCCTAAATGTGTTTAGGGGGAGTTGTCTTCTTGGTGGGAACAAAATAGAAGTCCCCTTAATGTAGATCATTAAATTTGAAGCAAGACATGTAAGGTTGGGTTGAGGTCAAGGTTAGAGGAAGGCAAGTAGTACTAGTAGTGTATGTGTGTGTATGTGGTCGGTATTATTGATGTTGTTGGGACCTAAATGTGTTACTGAGTTTTGCTACAGGGACATTTTACGGTGAGGACATATTTAAAGGTTAAGGGTTAGGTTGAGGCAGATAGAAGTAAGAGTTGATGTTAGTCACTGTGTGTGAGTGTGTGTCTGAATTCCTGACACACTTCTAACACTTCTTCTTACATAAAGCATGTCAGTGAATGCATTAATGATCATTGGTCACAAATGGTGGCAGAGGAGGAGGAAGAAACATGCAGGGGGGAGAATTAGAACCAGAGGAAGAGTAAAAAAAACAGAGGGACAGAAATATGATGAGACAGTGAGAGAGAAGAGAAAGGAAAGAAGGATAGTAGAAGCGAGGGGTGAAGAGATGAGAGAGGCGCTCATAGTGAGAATCACACCTCTGCAGCCAATGTACCATCGATTGTGCAGCCGGTCTCAATCATTCGTACACAAATGTTCTCACAGTCTCTTGCTATGATTTCACTCACCACCCCGAATCACAGCAAGGCACAAACTTCTATAAGTGTCTTTAAAGTTTGAGAAGACGCAGAGACTGATGAGAGGACACAGTGGCTTGTAAAAAAAAAAATACAGTAAATATATTCCTCCTCCCTCCACCACCCCTGCACACACCACCCGTCTATCCTTATTTTCACTGTTACAGCCCTCGGGGCTAACCCTCACCTCGTCTCCTTTAAAAAAAAATATAAAAAATTATTTTCCCCCGTCATTTCCCTTCAGGCTATAGATTAGCCTGTCTGAAGCGAAGCAGAAAGGGAGGGATGGCGGATGGCTCGGGAGGGAGGGAGAGGGAGAGAGAAAAGGTGTGAAAAAGAGGCAGCTTTACTTCTAACACCTCCCTCTCTCTCTCCCTCCATCCCTGCAGGATGCAGAGTGTGAAAGCAGGAGGAGGAGAGAAGCAGGCGGAGGTCAAGGCGAACAGCAGTATGGTGGGAAAGCCAGTAGACAGCGATGGATGAAAGGATATATAAGGAAGGTTTAAATAAAGTGCTGTGAAAAAGTTTGTACATTTCTCAAGCTTTTTCACTATCCGGTGTGGTGGAAAATCATTTAAATCATAGTATTTTTTTTTTCTGCCTGAGATCTCTGAATATTTTCTTTTACACTAATGCAGGAAGACAGTTTCCTTGATTTTAATGAAGTTCATATAAATGGAAAGAAGCAGAGTGTGCTAAATTAAGTACAGCACTTTCATCAAAGCTTAAAAAAATATATCCATGTTCCTATCTTTGGCTCAGATGTCACGTTAATGTTGTCGCAACACACTTTGAACATTATCCAAGAAATGTGAGTTTAGGATATAGGGGGTACTCTGATTTATTTATTTTTTTGTAACATTTAATAAAACAAAAAAATAACTATCATGCCAAAAAGACAGAAAATGAGTTTCGTCATCTATGAATCAAAAACAGAGTAACCAGTGAAGTGGGGCAAAGTGAGAAAAATGTGGAAAGAATGTATATTTTTTTCTTTACCGATGACACACTTTTATGTGTGGACTTCTCCCTTTTATATATAAAAAGTGCTTTTAACATTCATCCTCTGTGTAAAACATAAATTGCACTGAATAATGTATACAATTATAATAATTTCATAAACTAATTCAAAGCAGCTGCACAACACAACATTTATTTTTTAACATAATTAATTACATATTCATGTCCTGGGGCATGTTGTACTTGAAAACATAATTATGAAAACGAAAGATGTGAACCATAATTATCTTAAAACTAGAAAGCATAAAGATGAGAAATTATATGTTGAGAATAAAAATCGACTTTTTTTTAATATTTTCTGATCAACACGGCTCTACATGCAGCCGATGAACTAACTGGAAGACAGCTTGCGTTAAAACTTAAGGTGGTGACATAGGAGAGATTACATGAAGCGGGACGCAGTGGGAGGTATAACAGGACTGTGATAACGAAGGACTGTCGGACTAAAAAAAGACAGAAGGGTGGAGGACAATGATTTCTGAGAGTAATAACTACTGACACATGATCGAGGACAAGAAGGTGACGAGAGAGAAGGGAGGTGAGGAAGATGAGGGAAATGAAAGAAGGAGGAGGAGGAGGAGGTCGCTCAGCGAAGTGAGGCGGGAGACTGATTGCCTGTGACAAGCTGTTGGTGATATGATGGGGACAGGAGACTATATGAGACAACAGAGATGACCCCCGAGCCTGGTGGACAGAGTGAGAAGGGAGGGAGGACAAGATTTCTAGAAAGAGGGTGGGCTGGTAAAAGTTAAAAACAGAAAGTAAGGAAAGAGTTTAAATGACATGATAGATAGCGGAGAGGTAAAAAACTCTAATGTCTCCATTATAGAAAAGTGGAGCAGTAATGGATACAAAGAAGAGGGAGAGACAAAGAGAGACAGAGACTGAGAGCAGGAGAGCGAAATTGAACCAGGAGAGCTTCCACAAATGTGATTTTTGCAAATGCAAGCTATTTTTTTAACATCACAATCAACAGGTCACAAATATCACAAAGGCAATTTTTGTTAAAACAGTGAACTGTATTATGACAAATCCTCTTAAATCCATTAGACATGTTACAGGTGCCACTATTTCTGTGAATCTCAATTTCACAGGAACAAAGCGAACAAAGAGATCATAGCTGCTTTGCCCTTGGATTGAAAAATATTACCCTCCCAATTTTTGGTTGCTAAACACAGAAAATGCTTCAAATTCCCCTGCACTTGAGGGGGGAGAAGATATCACCGCATCAAGGTAGAAATAATCACAGAACATCCTGATGAGAGACGGAGATGAGAGCGGGGGAAAAGATGGGGAGATGTTGGAATTGGCGTGCTTCAAATCTTTCCCACCTCACTTTGGGAGGACGGAAAGATTAAAAAAAAAAAAAGAGAGTGGGGAGGAGTGTATCGAGCAATTTAGGATTAGATAAGAAGAGAAAGGAGGAAGAACAGTGAGAGAAAAATAGGGAGACGGGGAGGGAGAGGAGGGATGAGTAATTGAGACAATGATCAGCAGTGATGGGGGGGATGTGAAGCGCCAGAGGACAGAGGAGAGGAAGGGCGTCGCTCCGCCACCCTCGTTCGACAGGAAGACAGGAGGGAGAGGCGGAGGAAGTGGAAAAACTTAATTAATGAAATAATACTGCAGTCAACCTCAATCAGACTGCACAGCATCATGGCCTTGCACACAAGGAGGCAGCAGGCAGGCAGGAGGGAGGAGGAGGAGGAGTGTGTATCTAGTCCATAGTAAAGATCAGACAGTGCATGAGAGTCCTTCTCTGTGTTTTTATTACAAGGGCAGAGCTGGGCTGGGGCTCTTCCCTGCCTCTGCTCAGGTTTGCCCACAGTGTTGAAAAAGTGAACGATGATTCCACTGGAAGCACATTGTTCATTCATTTAGGGACTTAAACCCCAGGTCTGACTTGACACTTGCAGCGATGGACTATGCAAACTTATGCCATTTGCATTAAGGCACACTGCAGACCTCAGTGTTTGCCCTCCCACTCTATTCTGTCTCAGCTCTCCCTGGTTATATATTCCACACATGCTGAGTGACAGCCGGCCTTCCGCAGCAAAACACTCGCTTCTGTGTGAGTGATGTGAATTTGTGTACATGCTGATGTTATAATTTCCATCACGTCCTTTGGTCTAGTTTGGGACACGACTCACATTTCACTCTGCTCAAAAGTCATGAGAAGTGCTATTTTATTGCCTGATTTCCCATATTTCTGGTTAAAATGGGATTTTGCTCTGAGACAGAGTGTATACATTCTAGCTCTTGGTGCA